TCCTTAGTCTTATCCCCATTAGTTGCTAGCGAGAATGGCACGGCCCACTCGGTAATGGCGTCCAGTGCCCTTTGTGTTTGGCCCAGGGAAGCGGACCCCCATTAGGTATTCACTGTTTGTTAAATCGTCGGCGTATTTGACTGGGAACACAGAGGACGGTAAACAGGTGTCTAACGAGTTGATGCAAATGACAAAGAGCAGTGGGGAAAGCAAACCACCCTGAGGCACACCCGCTAAGACTTCACGTGGTTCAGACAAACATGCTCCCCACTTGACCCGTTGGGTCCTTCCCTCCAAGTAGCTGTGTATAGACAACCACAGATCCCGCCTTACTCCAAAGTCAGCCAATGTTAGTAGTAGCTGACCATGGTTTATCGTATCAAATGCGCGGCGGAAGTCAACAAAGACTGCATGGATGTCTAACTTGGGGTTGCTGTTAAGTGCATCATGCCATCTCTGAAGGATGTGGATCAAAGCTGTAACGGTGGACCGCTTTGGTAGAAAACCATGTTGTGATTGTAGCAGGGTATTCGCGGTGTCTTGTAAGAGTGAATCACGCAAGAGGCCTTCATACACCTTGCCTACACAGCTGACCACAGATATCTGCCGGTAATCCGTAGGAAAGTGCGGTCTTGGCTTCTTGGGGACGGCTGAGACACGTGCTTGTTTCCACTCCTGTGGGAAGGTACAATGTTGCAGACAGCAGTTAAACACTTCACACAGAACAGGTGCCAGTTCCTCGTGAAATACCTGTAGTACCCATGGAGGAATGTCGTCTGGGCCCGCAGCTTTCCTTCCGTTCACTCTTCGCAGTCTGGATTTGATCTGACCGATACTGAAGGTACTAAACCAACTTCCAAGGTTCACTTTTGACAGGGCTTTGGGGTGGGAAAAGTTTCCGACAGCTAACTGTTCCCAGTCTAAAGATGAAAAAATGGTATTTTATAGGGTTTTACGAAACGTTTCAGAAACCACCTCCACCGTGGTTTTAGAACCCTTCAGTGGGGCCTTCTTGCTTCCTGCTAGGTCTAAAGGGAAAGATTTTCGGGAAACAGCATGGGCCATATGAAATTGATACTCTTAGAAGCCTGTGCCTGCATCTTTACCTTCGCCAAGAAG